CCTGCAGGCCAGGAGAGGACACCAGATCTCATTATACATGGTTGTGAGCCACAACTTCATCTATACTGTCCATCCATGCTTCGACTGGACTGTTGAATTTTAGACTAAATTTATTTCCTCTTCAGTAGCTGAGAGGTTGTTCGAGGCTTACCAGGCTGATCTTGAACTCACAGAGGTTAGCCTGCATCTGCCCTCTGGGTGCTGGGGTAAAGGTGTGCGCAGCCGTGCGTGGTATCCTCTTCGATCTGAATAGTATTTCAGAATCGCATACTCAGTGTGATGACTTTATATCACCACTGTGCTTATCCCTGTTCTGGTTCTCCAGTTTTGTTTACTAGGTTAGTCAGTTTTCAGGGTTGGTCATCATTTTCCAAATAGGAGAGGCTAGTAAAAGGTCACTGGTTTAATAACTGCCACATGGCTGAACTGCAGAGTGTCTTCAGGTATCATCAGCCCAGATCACGTAATTGGAGCCTCCACATTCATATTCTGAATATAATATAAATACAGTGGTCACAAACCCTCTGCTGTAAAAGGTTAAAAGATGAGTTCTAGTCTGTGGATTACAACTGTATTTCTGAAAGTTAGATGAGTGTGAAATATTGAATTACTTAGTTTAAGAGCACAACATGGTCCTGAGTTGGAAGGGCTGAATCTTTATTCACTCCAGTCTCATGAGGAGCACAGTTATCCTTGTTTTTTGTTTAAATTAGTTTTATAGGTATTCTCTGGCCTCTGTCTCCAGAATGTTGGGATTAAAGGTGTGCACACCTTTATTTCTTTAAATCTTTTATTTGTGTTCATAATGAGCTTTCTAGAACTTTGAGGGACATGTGGAAAATAGTGACAATATTTTTCACCAAATTCACTAGTCAAATTTTCTTCCTTGTACTTTCTTTTCTTTTTTTTAATTTTTGAATTCAAAAGTTCAGGGCTGGAGAGATGGCTCTTCCAGAGGACCGGGTTCAATTCCCAATACCCACCTGGCAGCTCACAACTGTCTATAACTCCAGTTCCAGGGACTCCAACACCCTCTTCTGGCCTCTGCAGGCAACACACACACATGGTGTATAGACACACATGTCGGCCAAACACCCATACATATACAATAAAACTAAAGGTGAAAAGGCAAACAAAATTTTAAAGTTCAGTATAAAACCCGCTTCCAGTTGGCTGCTTTCAAGACGCAGCTGTCAATCTTCTTCCTTCCCCCTTCATTAGGTTACAGCGAGGCAAGAAGCAGCAGATTGAAAACGGCAGCGGGGCGGAGGACAACGGGGACAGTTCCCACTGTAGCAACGCATCCACACACAGCAACCAGGAGGCGGGGCCTAGCAACAAGCGGACCAAAACCTCGGACGACTCCGGCCTTGAACTTGATAATAACAATGCAACGGTGGCAATTGATCCAGTGATGGATGGAGCTAGTGAAATTGAATTAGTGTTCAGGCCCCATCCAACACTTATGGAAAAGGATGACAGTGCACAGACAAG